AGATCTTAAGAGATCAGTGAGTTTTCCTATGAAACTGTATTGTGATAACAAGGCAGCTATCGGCATTGCTCATAATCCGATTCTACATGACAGGACTAAACATGTTGAGATTGACAGACACTTTATAAAGGAGAAGCTTGAAGAAGGAATAATCAGCACTCCATTTGTACCAACCACGCAGCAAGTTGCAGATGTTTTGACTAAGGGCTTGTTGAGACAACCATTTGAACTTCAAGTTAGCAAATTGGGCATGATAGATATCTTTGCACCAACTTGAGGGGGAGTGTCAGCAAATTAAGAAAGATAGGATTTGCGGCAAATTAAGAAAGATATGATTTGATTGATTAAGAGATTTGAATAAATTTAGKAAAGATTAGATTTGAATAAATTTAGGAAAGTCATATCCTAGGATTAAGGGAAAGATTTAGTCAATCCCCAACTTCCTTCCAATGAAGAACAGCCATAGCTTGTTGATGAAATCTAAGAATGTTTGTAGTGGACAAAACAGTTGAAAGACAACTCTGGTTTGAAGGAAAACCATAGCAGTCAAGAGGGTGAGAAACACAAGAAGAACAACAGAATAGGGGATCAGAGGATGGTGGAGGATCAATAACAGGTGTAGGTGTACTTATAGAATCGGGAGGAGGGGAGAGCTATAAGTGCTAGAATCACTAGCCTCTTCTTGAAAAAGACACGAAGTAGTTCTGGAATAAAAGGGGTTGTATTTGATGAACCTACAAAGTCAAAGGAATATAGCATCAAAATAGAAGTAGTAGGAAATTTAACAGTATGAGCAAAGAAAGAAATATTCTCAAGAAAAATAACATTGTGAAACACACGATCCCAACTGGAACAAGGGTCATAATAGAAAAAAACCCTTATGATCAGGGCTATACCCAACAAAGGCACACATTGCTAACTAGGGAGTGAGTTTTGTGCGCTCACGAGGTGGGAGGTGAACAAAGCACATACAACCAAAAACATGAAGAACAAAGAAGTCAAGTGAGTGATGGAATAAGCTTTGAAAGGGAGAAGCATTGTGCTATAAAATAGAAGGGAGAATGTTGATAAGGTACACAGCAGTGCTAGTGCCTCCACCTAGAAGGAAGTAGGAGCATGTGAATCATGAAGTAGGGTCCGAACAATACTCAAAATGTGTCTATTCTTGTACTCTACTGCTCCACTCTGATGTGGAATTCCAGGACAAGAAGTTTTGAGAATCTCCATCAAAGTACTCACCCCCAAGTCTGAACGAAGAATTCCAATACTAGTATCAAACTGATTTCTGATCTAAGCCAAGGACTTAAATGTGGGGAAAAATCAGGTTTATTTCTCAAAAAATATATCCAAGTAAAGCATGTGATATATGTAGCAAAATATTTATATCCCAACCTTAAAATTACAAGAGACAAGTTTAAAGGGAACAAATGCATGTTCAACAGAAGAAGGAAAAGAAAGAACATAACTCTAACTCAAGCAACAAGAAATACAAGTGTTATTAATAGTAGCAAAAGAAGTAAATTATCAAAAAAAAAATACAGTTGCAAAACAACTTTAGAAGACAAACATTCATTACAAAATAAAGACTCTAGTTTATACTTGGCAACTAAAGAGTGAGTTCAAATGCTTCAAACGACTCTCAAGAGATCTGAACATTCAAGTTCGATGAATTAGAAGATCTGCTAATAGCATGGCAGATAGTCTTGCTAAGCAAGGGGTTCAGAAACAAAATTTGTTTTGGGCACAGTTGTAACAGTTATGGTTTGACTGTAACTGTCACTGGATGCTTTAGCCATATAAGGGGTTAACAGGGGTGAACTCTTTGGGATGAATTGTAAGATTGAAGTCTATTGGGGATCATCTTCTTTCTTGGGAACTGGACCAGTGTACTGATTGTTTAAAATTTGATTATTGAAAGTTACCATTTCCTATAAAATAACAAAACAAAATAAGTCGAAAAATATAGATTCAACTTCATTGGCTTGCATGTTGCCTTTATTGCCCATAATTAGCTCAAGTCTCATCCAACTCATGTGATCTTGGTTTTTGCATAGGCACTTTATCAATCTTTCAGTGATACCATATCAGACCATGCAATCTAGTTTTGACTTGTAAAAATAAGGGTCAAAATCAAGACAACAGAAATATGCTCATTGGAACAGGTATCAATTCCATGCTTCATAGACATCATAGATGATTTTTTGAGTTTTCTTCTACTTCACAGTTTTCATGATTATAAATAATGACCTAACATTCATATGAATTGTCTATCATAAATGTCTTAATTATAAAAATAGTTAGCTAAAGAATAGTGGTTTATTAAGCCAAGATAATAAGGCAAATTTTTCAGTTTTCAACTTTCAATTAGTTAATAAAACATTTTGGTTTATTTATATGGCATAAAATATTTTTATTTAYGGTCTTAGATTTGCATCCCTCATGAAAATTGTTTCAATTTCTTAAACAAATGGAAGACAAATAATAAAAATGAGTAGTGAACAAAATGCACATGT